GAGTCTCGAACCCGAACGCCTTCAAACAGGCTTCCATGCCGAGCCGAGGAGCGGCCCTTTGCTGCGAGAACGCTGGGAACCTGCTGGGGGGCCGACCGGCCCCCCTTCCGCGTGAGCTCCAAAATGATCTCGCCAGCGTTCCCGAGTGGCCGTGGAAGGGACCTGGGGCTCGTCCAGAGCCAGTCCCTCCTCCGTGGGGTGCATGCGCCCACGCAGCCGCTTCCGGACGGTGTACGCCGAGCCGCCAGTGACCCGCCGAGGGCCAAGGCAGGGACTGCAAAGGCCCCGTTGTTTACGATGCACAGCGAACTTGTAGCGCGTCGTGAAAGAAAGGATCGGCTCCTGCCCAGCGACACCTGCTTCTTGGAGGAGGAGGAGGAGAAGGAGGAGGAGGAGGAGGAGGAGGAGGAGGAGTATGAGGAAGAGGAGGAGCAGGAGGAGAAGCAGGAGGCGGAGGAGGAGGAGGAGGGTTAGGGGGAGGAGGAGGAGGAGGAGTGAGGAGGCGGAGGAGGAGGAGTTGAGGAGGAGGAGGAGAAGCAGGAGCAGGAGGTGGAGGAGGGAGTGTGGAGGAGGAGGAGGGGAGGAGGCAAGGGAGGAGGTATGAGGGGGAGGAGGAGGGAGGAGGAGGAGGAGGAGGAGGAGGAGTAGGAGGAGGAGGAGGAGCAGGAGGACGAGGAGGAGGAGGAGGAGGAGCAGGAGCAGGAGGAGGAGGAGGAGGAGGAGGAGGAGGAGGCCCATGCTGGGACCAGGAGCGGTGGCACACGCCGTCCTGACCTGGCCAAGGAGGCACTGCGCTGCTTCAAGGCCCAGGGTGGGCCTGGCCAGGAGCAGAACGAATGTGCACCCAGACAGCAAACGATGCAGGGCTCGACCTAAGAGGTGTTTTCCGTTTTCGTTTTGTTTTCGTTCTCCCTCGTTCTGTCTCCAGCCCGCCTGTGCTGCGAAGCGGCATCGAAACGACAACGGCCCACGAGATCGCCAAAACCCCGTTCAGGTCGACCCCTGCGACGATGTGCCTCTTCCAGTGCGCGGCCCCCAGAGGTCCTGGCCCCTTGGCATAAAGAGTGCTTCGCCCCGGATCCGTTTCTGACGGCCCCGAGGCCCGATCACAAGACCCAGGGCCCGAAATCGTGGAAAAGCGCCAGGACAGGCTTTATGGGGCCGAGCTCGAGGAGAGATGCCCAGCTCGGCAAGATCCCATCGTCGGAACGCTGGGTGCAGATCTCGCCCCCCGGCGTCCTCGCCGAGGTCGTCGGGCTGCTGCGTCGAGCGGTGCCTCGCCGCCACACTGGGCGCGAGGATCGACTGGACCTGCCCGCGCTCCTCGAGACCGCCCAGGCGGGGTCGAAGCAGCCGTGGTCGGAGGGCCACCTCGCATTGCCCGCCGATGCATCGGCGACGTCGCGATGCGCCGTTGACGTGGGCGATGCGACGGACGACGTCGGCGTGGACCAGCCGCATCGCCGATGCATCGGCGACGTCGGCTAGGCATCAACGACGTCGGCGCGGAGAAAGCCGGGTTCCACATCCAGCCGCCTCGCCGATGCATCGGAGATGCTGCGCCGTCCACCGACCCCATCTGTTCCGACCCCAGCTGGGCGGCCCAAACGGCTCCTCGCCCTCGTTGCGGTCGCTGGACTCCGGCCTCACCAGAAGCAGTCAGCACCGATTCGAAGATTCGGAGCGAATCGGAACGAGTAACTCAAGATCTCCGACAAAATGCTGTGGTCCATCGAATTTTTGCTGGATTGCGGCCTCTGGGCTTTGTCATCGGGCCCCCGGATCAGCAAAAACGGATCGGGGACGCACAACTGCCACCAGGGAAGGGCGCGGGCCCTCCGAGGCCGCGCTGAGCAAAAATCACCTCGTCGGATCTCTGGAAATCGGGCCGCACCGGCACGAAATCGAAGTCGGAATCGACTCTGCCGCACCAGGAGGCGCGGCGGCGCCGTGCTAGCACTGGGCCGCATCTTCTCGCCCAGGCATCGGTACCGAATCGGGTCGGGCTGGCTGACACCGATACGGGCAAGAGGTGGTCCCTGCCTCGGGCGGTGCCTCGGGGCCACGCTGGGCGCCAGGATCGACTGGACCTGCCCGTGCTCGTCCTTCTGGGAAGAGGAATGCGCGCTTCGGCATCAGAGCATGAGCATGAGCTGTCAGAGGTCCGCACGGATTCCTGGGATCGGCGCTGGGCTCCCTTCCCTGGAGTGCGGAGCGCGCCAGGGGCGGCGCCGGAGGCGGCGCCAGGGGGGTACAGCGGCGAGCCGAGAAATCCGCGCGGAACGCCGACAGTTTAATCATGTTTATGGTGCACGGTTTCCCCCGGGGCCGTAGGCGACCCGAGGAGGAGGAGGAGGAGGAGGAGGAGGAGGAGGAGGAGGAGGAAGGAGGAGGAGGAGGAGGGGTGGAGGATGTGGAGGGAAGGTGGTGGTGGAGGAGGGGGGAGGGGGAGGAGGTAGGGGGTAGGAGGAGGAGGAGGAGGTGGAGGTGGAGGTGGGAGGGAGGAGGGGAGGAGGAGGAGGAGAAGGAGGAGGAGGAGGAGGAGGAGGAGGAGGAGGAGGGAGGAGCCGCTTCCGGACGGTGTACGCCGAGCCGCCAGTGACCCGCCGAGGGCCAAGGCAGGGACTGCAAAGGCCCCGTTGTTTACGATGCACAGCGAACTTGTAGCGCGTCGTGAAAAAAAGGATCGGCTCCTGCCCAGCGACACCTGCTTCTTGGAGGAGGAGGAGGAGGAGAAGGAGGAGGAGGAGGAGGAGGAGGAGTATGAGGAAGAGGAGGAGCAGGAGGAGAAGCAGGAGGCGGAGGAGGAGGAGGAGGAGGAGGAGGAGGAGGAGGAGGCGCAGGAGGAGGAGGAGGACGGGTCGCCTAAGCCCTTCGGAGAAACCCTCCAGTTTATGGTCATGTCTCTGCTTCGCTCCTCGCCCTCGCTGAGGTCGCTGGGCTCCTGCCTCAGGCGGTGCCTCGCGGCCACGCTGGGCGCCAGGATCGAGCGGACCTGCCCCTTCTCCTCCCCAGACATCCGACGATGCCTGGGCGGAGGCCGTTCCGGGCCGACGCTTGCTGCTGCCTTCTTGCGCGTCTCTTGGGGAGGGGAAGATGGGAGCGGACAGCAAGCCTCGCCAAACGTGCCGTCAACCAAACATGCGAACGTGGCAACGTGGCCGCAATTCCGGCTACTGACGCCGGGAATGGGCCTCAAATCGAGGATCGACCGGTACACCCTAAAGTGAAGAGACGGCCTGCAAAGGCATCGACACATAACGTGCTATGGGGGAGACGGCGGGACCTCCAAGCTCGTTCAGCGCTGTGCCTCCCATCGTTAAAGGCTCAACGACTTCTGCCGCCCTTCGAACGGTGCTGGAGCGGCCGCGAGTAGCTCCAACTTTCCCTGGAGATCTCTGGATTTGCCTGGATTTACCAAGGTGTATCTCGATTTATCTGCATCAACCTGGATTTACCTCGATTTATCTGCATCTACCTGGACTAATCTGGTTTGTCGTTCTCCCTCGTTCTGTCTCCAGTCCGCCTGTGCTGCGAAGCGGCATCGAAACGACAACGGCCCACGAGATCGCCAAAACCCCGTTCAGGTCGACCCCTGCGACGATGTGCCTCTTCCAGTGCGCGGCCCCCAGAGGTCCTGGCCCCTTGGCATAAAGAGTGCTTCGCCCCGGATCCGTTTCTGACGGCCCCGAGGCCCGATCACAAGACCCAGGGCCCGAAATCGTGGAAAAGCGCCAGGACAGGCTTTATGGGGCCGAGCTCGAGGAGAGATGCCCAGCTCGGCAAGATCCCATCGTCGGAACGCTGGGTGCAGATCTCGCCCCCCGGCGTCCTCGCCGAGGTCGTCGGGCCCACATGCGGCCCCGTCCGGCTCGCTTCCCGAGGAGGAGGAGGAGGAGGAGGAGGAGGAGGAGGGGGAGGAGGAGGAGGAGGAGGAGGAGGAGGAGGAGGAGGAGGTGGTGGTGGTGGAGGAGGAGGAGGAGGAGGAGAGGAGGAGGGAGGAGGAGGAGGAGGAGGAGGAGGAGGAGGAGGAGGAGGAGGCCGTTCAGATCGCCTCTGCCTGAGGTGGCGGAGGGCGGCGGCGCTCAGCACCTCGATGTCGGTGCTGTGCTGCTTGTGTCCCGCAGCCCCAACAGCCCGACGCCCCGCCGCGCCGTCGCACCTCGGGCGGGGCTGGCCAGCGCTCGGCGGCGACGACGGGACTACATATGGCGCCGCCCAAGGCGAAGCCAGGATGAGGATCCTGAGATCCTGACGCTGCAATTGTTTCACAACGGGCGTTTTCGCGCCGTTTCGTGCCCTGGGACCCTCACAGATCGATCCGGCTCGGAAAATGACGCAGAAAGATGGGGGCCAGGTTCCGGTAGTGATTTTTTGCGATGTTGCATTTTTTGGGCAACGTCGGATCTCAGGGGATAAGATCTTAGCGGCGAGCGAGGGTGGGAAATGGGAAGGAGAAGGCCTTCTCAGAAGGCGACGTGACTTCTCGGAAGGCCTCCAGCCTGATGAGAGGTTTCTGGTGTCTTTGGGGAAGGCTTAGAACACTTCTCAGAAGGCTCTCAGAAGGCTGGAGGACTTCCGACCCTTCTGAGAAGGCCCGTCCCTTCTCACTTCCCACCCTCGCTCGCGGCCGAAATTCGGGTGAGGATAAATCGAGAATCTCTGAGACCTGGCGGCTCTGGACGATGTATGTATCAAGCGCCGCGGCCTTCTGAGAGCGATCCAGAACGTTCTGAGAGCGTTCTGGAACGGATTCATCCTCGTCCTAGCCCCGTCTGGCCTCCAGGGGGTTCGGGGGCCCCGCGGACCGGTCCAGCTCTCGAAATGAGGCAGCAAGTCTGGGTCCAGGGACCCAGCCGTGACTTGACACGATGCTGTTCTTGCCCAGAGATCCGACGTCGTGATTTTCTCAATGCGGGGTCCCCGCAAGTCTCGACCCATTCCCCAGGACTGGCTCTTCATCCCGAGCCGCTTTTTGACGGCCCCGAGGCCCGGCGAGGGCCCCTGGGGGCCGAACTCTGGGGCCGCTCGAGGAGATGCCCAGCGCCTCTTGATCCCCCCGCCATTGGGCGCCAGAGCGGGCGCGGACGGGTCGTCGCGCGCGCCCGCCCTGCCGCACCTGTCGCAAGATTGTCGCGCCCGTCATGCCAAGATTGGGCGCGTGTCCCGGCGCCCTCCTTCGTCGCCACCTCGAACTCTGCGCCCGCCTCTTGGCCGCAGTGCACTGCTCGGATCCACTGCGGGCGCGGGCCCTGATCAGGACAGTCGGGAGGGGGGGGGGTTTCTCGGCGCCGCCGCCCGCGCATCGCGTCGCGCATCGAGGCCCTCGCTTGAATAATTTTCGACAAAGCGCGACATTTTCGACAACGCGGCGTGGCCGCCGCCATCCTCTGCGCGCTCGCCCGTCGCGCGCGCTCACCGCCGAGTAAGATAATAGTGCCGAGCGAGCCTGTCGATTGGACGGCCCAGCGCGCCAGCGGGCCCCATCTCGGCACGCGCCGAGAAAACTTGCCCAGCTTCGCCAAGCTTCGCTCGCGAGCCCACGCCCAGCTGAAAGCGCGGCCTCGTTCGCCATCTGCCGAGCAGCAACGTGCGAGCGAGGCGCTGGCCGAGGCCCGAATGGAGATTGCACAGGGAACTTCGCATGAACGCCACTGAAAAATCAGCCGGCATGACGAGGCAGCAATGGGTCGAGCGCGCAGACGCACGGGCTTGCGAGGCCCGCCGTGCCATTGTGAGAACAGCCAGACCTTTCAGCTAAACGAACAGCTCGCCCTCGCTCGGGCGTTCACCCCCCGCGCACGTTTCGGCTTCGTGCGCGCGTGCTTCGCAAGAGGATCCAGGGTGCTACTCGATGGCCCTCGCCGAGAAAAACTGCGCATGTCCGAGCGATGCCGAGACGATGTCGGCTGATGCCAGGCAGTAGTCGGTCGCGCTGTCCGAGCTTGCCATGACACATGCGTGGCGTACGATAGCATTCGTTGTGAGCCCCGCATTGCGAGTGAAGCCGCCCTGGTTGATCAGGGTTGGTTCAACAACCCCATCGGCCGTTCAAGGTGCGATCCCGCTGAACGCGAAAGCGAACCTCCAAGAACAAAGATACTACTCAACTTCCCAGCATCCAGACCCACGCTGGTTCGGAAACGCGCAGAAACTAACGCCAGCGAACGCCGCCCACGATTTTCGATCACTGCGAAAATAAGCATACCTCATCGCGAACCAAGGTGGTACCGAACGAAATCTGCAACACCTGCCGAGTGCGAGCCGTTCGCGCACTCTGTTGAAACGCCGCGCAACACGCGGTGCCCGAGACCGCGAGCTGCCCGCTGAGGGTCAGGAGTAACATTAGCTCCAGTGCAAGTTTTCAGAAAACACAGCCATAGCGCCCGTGCTGCTCAAACGGTCCAACAACATTGATCTACAACGGCCTCTGAACGTCTCGAACAATGCGGGCTAGATGACGTTGTGCCATGATGCCTGAAACTTTTGTGCAGCGGTGCGATCGTGCCTGTTGGCGAGGCTGGGAGGCCTGAAAAATGTGGCACATCGAGACTGCAGTGCCGAAGCACCAACCGCAGCCGCCGACGCTGCAGCCTCCATCCGAACACGATTGACTCCCATGGCCTCCAATTGCTACTCGAAGGCGCGTTTGTCACCAAATGCCGCATGGAGTCGTTCGACATCCTCAGGGGAAAGTCACTCATACGCCTAAGGCATGGGGGCATCACCTCCCCCTTCACGCGGAAGACATATCTCTTCCAGCCTGCACGTGCCTGAGGAGCTGGAGCCTGAAGCACAGGCTGGCTGAAGCTGCGAAAGCTTCTTGGATACTGGGTTCGCCATGACATCTCGGGCGTCAGCATTCGCCTCGTAAATCTGTTACGGTAACTCGAACTTGTACGCAGCCTGCGGACGTGCAGCGCTCGGCGACGTCGGCATGGTGCGCCGCAGCTTCTCCTACGCCTCCTGCAGCTCCACGAAAGACGGCTGAACCGGCTCGATGATCTTCTCCGGATCTGCGACCGCCTCGGCTGCGTTGCCCTGCTCGCGCTGCGCCGATTTTGCAACCGACAGGCGGTGTTGCTGTGCTGCCGCGTGACGGCCTTGAAGTCGCGCTGGGCCTGGCGAGCCTCGCGCATGAGCTAAGGCACTGCTTGGCTGAGTCGCTGGGCCCGACCTCGCCGAGCTGCTCGAGAACCTTATCCAGCAGCATCAGCACCGTCTGCATCAGCAGCAGCAGCAGCAGCATCGCCACTGTCATGAGCCGCCATCTGTGGACTCCCACTGTTCCCGGACTTGGGGTCCTTGAGCGCTTGGTTGATCTTCTGATCGAACTTTGTCTTGAGCGCCGACGTGGTGGACGTCACCAGATCGTGCTGATGCGGTCCACCATTAGACCACCCTCCCCATGGCGCCCGAGGTGCAGATGGAGCTGGCTGCTGGCTCCACTCCTTCGCTGCCTGCACCACTCGAGGTGGAGCAGCAGCACCACACAGACACTTGATGTGACTGGCCCCCTTCGCAGCGCCTCGCCCTGGGTCCCCTTCTGGTGGCCCCCTGTCCCGATAGCAGCAGACCCCTTGGGGGCCGACTTCGAGGAGCGCGTCTGCGATTGAAACACCCATTTTAACGCATGCGCTCGAGTAGGGGATCGACTGCAGAATTCATGCACTTCAGAATAGATTAGGTATCCGTTGAGAACTTTCCTCGGTCTACGAATATTATACGTGTTTTGTTTGCAGATTCGACGAAATAATCAATGTTGGTGTACATTGATTTTGTAGTCGATCCCCTACTCGATGTGTGGAAGTGCCGCGATTTTTCGAGTCCCCCGAGGCCCCGACCCTTTCCGGGGCCTGGTGCGGGCCTCCACACCCCGAAAGCGACAAACGATCTTGAACGACAAGACAAGGCCGAGATCATGGAAAACCTTCGCGAATGAGCAAATCAAATCGTCGAATATCTGGCCGCTGCCGGAAAGATCCGGAATTTGGAGCGCCGGAAATGGGCACCAACACCAACACAGGGGTTTGCCTCCACAGGGGGCAGATGATCCTAGATTTCGGTGCTGGCGGTAACCTTTCGGCCACCATGGAAGCCAGAATTATGACCACCCTCACCGAGATCGGGATCTTCTTCCCTCCGTGGAGGCGCACCGCCGATATTGGTGTTGGTGTCAACCTCCTCCTCCTCCTCCTCCTCCTCCTCCTCCTCCTCCTCCTCCTCCTCCTCCCCCTCCTCCTCCTCCTCCTCCTCCTCCCCCTCCTCCTCCTCCTCCTCCTCCTCCGATATTGGTGTTGGTGCCAACCTCTGGGCTTGCGACATTGGCATCTCTCGGGAGGGCAGCTTCGCCAGCTCCCGCCGGCCTTCCGCCGGCGGAGCCGCCCTCGCTTTCTTCCGCCGGCCTTCGGCCGAGGAAGACGTGTGCCAAGGGAGGGAGGGAGGGAGGCAGGGAGGAGGAGGAACAGGAGGAGGAGGATTGGATGAGGATGAGGATGAGGATGAGGAGGAGGAGGAGGAGGAGGAGAAAGAAGACTCCTCGGTCCCTTGAAGGCGAGGCTCTTCCTGGAGCGCCTTTACACATCCGGGCTTGGCTTTCCCCAGGCACATGCGCGCGGACTCCGAGTGGCAGCTGTCGCATATGTCCACGAAGCACGCGCCGCAGTGCCACCTGTGGGCCCCGCGGCAAGCCGCCGAGGCACCGCACGTGGCGAAGTACTCGCAGTGCCACCCCCTGCGGTACGGCCCCTGGTTGTACCAGCTCCAGGCCATGGGCTCCGTGCACCTGGGGCGTCTCGGCAGCTCGGGGTGCGCTCTCGGCAAATCCGCCTCGCCGAGAGCGTTCCCCGGGTGCTCGGATCGTCCCGCGGACGGCCGCCAGAGGCCCGAGTTGGGGCACCGAAGCCATCTCCGCGCAGACGCTGGACAAAATGCTTCCCCTCCTTCCCCCCCCCGTCGCAGCGCTTCTGCCTGCGTTTCGGTCTTCGGGGGCTGCGGGACCTTTCTGACCGCGGATTGAAGAACACGCATTCGTCGTATGTCTGTCTGGCTGCGATTAGGAACTCTCTCTCGAGATCTCGGGAGGTCCCCAAGAGCATCCAGAAATTCTCCGGGAGGAGGAAAAGGAAGGGCATGAAGAGGGCTGCGGAGGAATGGGTGGGGCGGTGGTGGAGGAGGCGAGGGGGAGTAGGAGAACATGCAGGACTAGGTGGATCAGTGGAGTAAGAGTGGACGATGATGATGATGGTGATGATGCTGATGCTGATGCTGATGCTGATGATGATGATAATGATGATGATGATGATGATGATGATGATGATGATGATGATGATGATGATGATGCTGATGATGATGATGCCGATGATGATGCTGATGATGACGATGACGACGATGACGATGATGATGATGATGATGATGATGATGATGATGATGATGATGATGATGATGATGACGATGGTTATGATGATGCTCCACGCGTGCGCAGCCAAAAGATCAGTCTGGCTGGGTCGGAACAGGGCCGCTGTCCGACTCGAACTGCCAGGTGGCCGCGGAAGACGAGGGCGCGTCTGGCGGGGTCTGAACAGAAGCGCTGTCCGACTCAAACTGCCAGGTGGCCGCGCGGACGAGGGCGCACTGCACAAGCCTTCATCCTCCTCCTCCTCCTCCTCCTCCTCCTCCTTCTCCTCCTCTGATGCAGGATGCTCCTCGATGGCCCTCGCCGAGAAGGAATGCATACGTCCGAGCGATGCCAAGGCATACATATTCCGGCGCGCGGAGCGCGCGAAGGGGGCCCAGCGCCGTTCCAATTATCTCGGCAAAGCAACCTAACAGCGATGTGTAGGAGCATATATGGAAGCATTCCTCTTAAGATTCAGATGAGAATCCAGTTGTAGAATTCTGCTGTTCTCGCCGTCGTAGTCGCATTCGCGACGACAGTCGCAGTGGCAACGGCAATCGCAGTCACAGCCTCAGCCTCAGCCTGCCTCAGCCTCAGCCTCGGCCTCAGCCTACCTCAGCCTCAGCCTGCCTCAGCCTCAGCCTCAGCCTGCTTCAGCCTCAGCATCAGTCTGCCTTCAGCCTCAGCCACAGCCTGCCTCAGCCTCAGCCTGCATCAGCCTCAGCCTCAGCCTCAGCCTTCCTCAGCATCAGCCTGCCTCAGCCTCAGCCTCAGCCTGCCTCTGCCTCAGCCTCAGCCAGCTTCAGCCTCAGCCTCAGTCTGCCGTCTGCCTCGGCCTCGGCCTCAGCCTGCTTCAGCCTCAGCCTCAGTCTGCCTTCAGCCTCGGCCTCAGCCTCAGCCTCAGCCTCAGCCTGCCTCAGCCTCAGCCTCAGCCTCAGCCTCAGCCTCAGTCTGCCTGCAGCCTCGGCCTCGGCCTCAGCCTGCCTCAGCCTGAGTCTGCCTCAGCCTCAGCCTCAGCCTCAGCCTCAGCCTCAGCCTGCCTCAGCCTCAGCCTGCCTCAGCCTCAGCCTCAGCCTGCCTCTGCCTCAGCCTCAGCCTGCTTCAGCCTCAGCCTCAATCTGCCTGCAGCCTCGGCCTCAGCCTCAGCCTCAGCCTTCTGACTCAGCTTCCGCCTCCAGCCCTGATGCTTCGGCTGCTTCAGGCCTCAGCCTCAGTCTGCCTTCAGCCTCGGCTCAACCTCAGCCTCAGACCTCAGCCTGCCTCAGCCTCAGCCTCAGCCTCAGCCTCAGCCTGCATCAGCCTCAGCCTCAGCCTGCTCAGCCTCAGATTCAGTCTGCCGTCGGCCTCGCCTCACCCTCTGCCTGCATGAGCCTCAGCCTCAGCCTGCCTCCAGCGATCAGCCTCAGCCTGCATGACCTCAGCCTCAGCCTGCGTGATTTCTAGCCTCAGCCTTCAGTCTGCCTCTGCCCTCGGCCTCTGACGGGCCTCGGCGCCCTAGCCTTCCCCCTGCCTCAGCCTCCGCCTGCCTCAGCCTCAGCCTGCATGAGCCTCAGCCTCAGCCTCAGCCTGCCTCAGCCTCAGCCTGCCTCAGCCTAGCCTCAGCCTGCCTCTGCCTCAGCCTCAGCCTGCTTCAGCCTCAGCCTCAGTCTGCCTTCAGCCTCGGCCTCAGCCTCAGCCTGCCTCAGCCTCAGCCTGCATCAGCCTCAGCCTCGGCCTCAGCCTGCCTCAGCATCAGCCTGCCTCAGCCTCAGCCTCAGCCTGCCTCAGCCTCAGCCTCAGCCTGCTTCAGCCTCAGCCTCAGTCTGCCTTCAGCCTCGGCCTCAGCCTCAGCCTGCCTCAGCCTCAGCCTGCATCAGCCTCAGCCTCAGCCTCAGCCTGCCTCAGCATCAACCTGCTTCAGCCTCAGCCTCAGCCTGCCTCAGCCTCAGCCTCAGTCTGCTTCAGCCTCAGCCTCAGTCTGCCTTCAGCCTCGGCCTCAGCCTCAGCCTGCCTCAGCCTCAGCCTGCCTCGGCCGCAGCATCAGCCTGCCTCAGCATTCAAAATGTGGCCCGGGAATGGAGTTCTGGGAACTCGTAGAACACGAAGTGGCCTACAGTTGGCTCCGGGCATTCAAAATCATGCCCAGGAATGGAGTTCTGGGAACTCGAAGACCACGAAGTGGCCTACAGTTGGCTCCGGGCATTCAAAATCATGCCCAGGAATGGAGTTCTGGGAACTCGAAGACCACGAAGTGGCCTACAGTTGGCTCCGGGCATTCAAAATCATGCCCAGGAATGGAGTTCTGGTAACACGAAGAACACGAAGTGGCCTACAGTTGGCTCCGGGCATTCAAAATCATGCCCAGGAATGGAGTTCTGGGAACTCGAAGACCACGAAGTGCGTTAATGTTTGCTTAAAACGAATTCCCCGGCATCCCCCCGGATCGCGCCCAGACCCCCCTGGGGCGTCATGATGCTCTCTTTTGACCCTACTAGAAACCTATCAGTCTTCGCTGTGAGGTAAAAAATCCGCGCGGAGCTCTCAGTTCATGTGTATGACGGTTCTTCTTCGAGATGAAGAACAGCTGCCACCGTGGGCGCCTCCTCCAGACGGTCCAGGGCGCCCTCCACACCCAGACCCCCTCGCGCTGTGAACAAAAACACGGCGGGAGGTTTTTCGCTGTTTTCGGCCTCCATGGAAGGGATCCAGACTTCTACTAGAATCACGCGTGCGCGCGCTTCGCGCGCGCTTGGGTTCTAGCAAGGTCTGGTTGTAGTCTACAGTGCTCGGCGTCGGATCCACCGACGGCCCCAGATACAGGCTTGGCTTAAGAGTCCCCCCGCCTATGCTGGCACACCCCTTAAATGGATCGCGCACCACAGGGACCTCCACCTATGTTCTCAGAGACAAGGTTCGCATAGTGGCACGCCCCTCACGCGGATCGTGCCCAGCACGTAACTGCATCTGCGGCACCAGAGGGGAGCTTCATAGCGTCGCCTGGCTTACTTCGGCACACCTCTCGCACGGATCGTGGCCCGCAGGGACTTCCACGGACGGTCCTAGAGGCAAAGTTCGCATGCCGCCCCCCTGCCTACTTCGGCACACCTATCGCACGTGTCGTGGCCCACAGGGATCTCCACCCATGGCCTAAGAGGTAGGGTGCACATTACGCCCATCCGCCCATTGCGGCACACCCCACCACGCAGATCGTACACAGAAGGAACACCACCTAAAGGCCCAACGATCAGGTTCGTACAACGACCCCCCCCAGGCCGGCACACCCGTCACGCGAATCATGCCCCAGAAGAAGCTCCACCTATGGCACCACTTGGCAACTTCGCGTGGCGTCCCCCCGCCCATTTCGGAACCTGCCTCGCACGGGTCGGGTCCAGAGGAGGTCGACCTGCGGCCTCAGTGGGCGTGTTCGCTCGGGGGCATCCGAATTACTCGGCGCACCTTCACGCGGACCGTGCCCCACAAAGAGTTCGGCGAACCCATGCACGCGTGCTCCGCAGCAGCCCCATTTCCGCGATGCCCCGCGGCGTGCAATGTATGAAGAGAGACCCGCGCCCCGCGCTACACACGACTGCATAAGGATCCGTCGCCAAGCCAATTGCTGGCTTATCTATAGCCTTCGGCCCATATCGCTACTGTGCTTGAGTTTTGGGCCAGGGGATTCGCGGACACCTCTCTGTTGGCATGCTTCTCGGGCACCTCGTGGCGCGACTTGTGAAGTTTCTTGGGGCATCTTGGGGGCCTCTTGGGGCCTCTTTTTGAACCCTTGGGGACCTCTTGGGGGTCTGCCACTTGGGGCGGAAGGCTCGACATGTCAGTTTGAGTTCCCCCTCTTGGATCAAGGCAGCGCCGACACGCACCGACGCGATTATGATAGAGAGGGGCCGACGACAGGGAGCAAAGCCCTTACGGTTATACATGTATATAGATATTATATATATATACACATACATGCATACATTCGATAGAGCGCGCGCGTGGGGCCCGATAGACTAAAAGGGGGGCCCCAGCTTGAAGCTACCCCCCTCCCCCCTTCCTTGCTAAAGGGGGGGGGGCTTCGGAAGCCCGTCCCCCCCCTTTTCGTGGTCCGGAAAGGTGGGGGGGGTTCCAAGCTACCCCCCCCCCCCTCCCTCACTCTAATTGAGCCGGGGTGAGCCACCCCCCCCCTTTGAAAGGGGGGGGCTTCGGAAGCTACCCCCCCCTCCCCCTCATTACGTGGCCGCAAAAGGTGGGGGGGGCTTCCAAGCTACCCCCCCCCCCTCCCTCCTTTTAATGGAGCTGGGGTGAGCCGGTGAGCCACCCCCTCCCTTTAAAAAGGGGGGGGGCTTTGGAAGCTCCCCCCCCTCCCTCCCTTGGTGCAAAAGGGGGGGGGGGCTTGAAGCTCCCCCCC